CCGGGGCGGGCCCCGGCCGCGGCCAGGCGGGCCCCACCCACGCCTCGGAGGGCGCCTCCCTCAGCTCCTGCGTGTCTGCCTCAGCCTCCGGCTTCGGCCCGGCTCCACACCCACCTGCTTGGCTCTGCGGCTTCCACCTGGCCGCACCGGGCAAGACGGTCCACGCTTGGAGATGCCGTGCGCACGGCGGCGGGGAAAGCCCCGGGACGCCCAGACGAGATGCGCTCCCGCGGCTTCGCGGGATTCCCTCGGCCCTTCTTCCCGCAACAGGGCTCTCCCCAAGCCTGCGGGCTGCACGACCCTGACCGTGGGCTCGCTGCTCCACCCCGGGGATCTGGGGCGAGGACAGATGGCTTCTGAAGATAGAGCCAGGAGTATTTGGCGAAGAAGGATCTGCCGGGACAAGTAGGAGCGTGGACAGGATCTGACTTTCCTCTCTGCATCTCCAGTCCCACTTTGGGGGCCGTCACTAGCTCCAAGTGACCCCGCTTTCCTGGGATTGAGGGTAAAGCCGGGTCGGTGGCAGCCTTAACTCTTGCTTCCCACGGGGGCGCTATTCAGACCGTCTTTTTTTTCTTGCCTAAGTACTTACCAGCGGACTAGCTATGCCGAGTTCCTCCTGGGTCAGGCTGCTGGTGGGACACCCAGACCCTTCTCCACCTTCAGGACTCAGTGAAAACAATGACTTTGAATATCGCTGGACCCTACAGTTCCGGACCCAGACCCAAGTTTTCCCTGACAGTCCGCGCAGTTACAGGGGCTTTCAGAAACAAATAGTTGTCTTGAAACCTTTCAAAAAGAATGCAGGCCATGACAATATATTTAAAGCTGAGACTTGTCAAGTTTCTTTGGGCCAGGAAAGATGGATGTTGCAGAAGGTTCTAATACATTTAGTTTCAAATGTACCTAATCTTGGCTTTTGTTAGAGCCCTGGTGTCCTGGTACGCATGCATTATCTCCTAGAGTTCTTTCCAGCCCCCACCATAGGCCTTACCTTGTACTGAGTAGGTTGTTTAGAGATGTCAGGTATTGGGCGTGACGTTTAGTATAGAAGTTTGTTCTCTGACACTCTTGCCCTTTAACAAGAACCTGCCCCAGCCCTTTGGTCTTCTGGGGGCTTCTCCAGTATTAATCCTACGAAGAGGACCCAGATCCCCAGCCTTTATTGCCAGCTCTGGCCTGTACCTCTGCTCCAGCTTTATGTTTCCAGGGACTGGCAGGAAGGTTCCCTCGTCTCCAGTTTCCATCCTCTGTATTTTCTGCAGATTATTTTGCCCCAAGCAAACTCTGACCACATCATTTCCCTATTTACAAATGTTCCTGACTTCCCATTCCCCACCAAAGAGCATCTGTGTGCCTCTGTGCCTTTACAAACACCAGGCTTTCTTCCTGGAATATTCCCCTGCAGGTATCAGGTCCAAATCACTGCAACCCTCAAGGCCCACTTCAAACTCGGCCTCCTCCTGACCACTCCTCTCTAAGCTCCATATCACATTGTTGGAGGAGGAGCAATCCTCTGTAAGACCTCTGGACCTTCTGCTTTCTATCACATGAAGGTACTTTCTAAGCATATGTATGGATGTCCTTCCTAAGCACATTTTCAACTTCAGGTTCCTCCAGGGCCAATTTCATGTCTCTTTATCTTTGCATTTCTTTTTTTTTTTTTTTTTTTTTGAGAGATTTTCACTGTAGGGCGCGTGCGCTCGCCAGTCAGACAGAGAGAGACATAGAGACAGAAAGCGAGAAATCACCCCCCGGGGGGATGGTCACGACGCAATCCCTTCTCCTCCATTCTCCTCTTGGGATCTTGGGCACGCGCGCACACGCGCCGGGCATGAGTTTTAAGCCACTGGGTCCGGGACACGAACCGCGGTCAACTATGTGGGAGTCCAGCGACATAGCCATTACGCTAACTGCTGGTTCCCATCTTTGCATTTCTTACATCTAATAGCCCAGGACCACACATGTGAGAGAGACCTTTTCATCCAACGGAGATTCATTGTGCAGCTTTTGTCAGGCACTTGGTATTTGTTACCTGAACAGATTACAAATATTTTAAGCCTAGAAAGACTTCTTGGGATTAATTTTGAGTGTGCCTAAATTTAAATGGCCTAGCTTTTCATAAATTTAGGGGTGGTAAAAATCCCCTGCCATCAACATTACTGATCACATCAGTAAGAATTTAATTATTTGACAGATAATTGTTTTATAATTTCTTTTACCTTAAATTTCCTTTAGATTTGAAAAATCCGAATCCATTTGCCTGCTGTCTAAGTGGTCATTAATCAAGATAGTAAATGATCTTTTAAGTAAAACAATGCCATTCTTTCCATTTCTGGGAAGCATGGTGCTAGGAGTAAGTTATTCATCAGCTCTGAGTTTGGGTATGCAATGATAAGAAAAGGCAGTCTTTGGGAAAAAGAACCTAATTTTGGTTACTTAGAGCCCAAATGGGTTATGGAGAATAACCTTTGGTTGGAACAGCTTAGTTCTCCATATGCACAGTTTGAATTCAGGATCATTGCAGAGACTCTCGTGTTGATTATCACCATGTATAGACAATTTGATGGTTTTCTTTCCATTGTTTACCAAAGGAAAAATGTAAATGATCTAGCTCAAAAGTCAGACATGTTTAGGGACCAGCAGTTAGCGGAATGGCTATGTCGCTGGACTCTGACATAGTCGACTGTGGTTTGACTCACGCCGGGCGCGTGTGCATGTGTGCCCAAGGTCCCGAGAGGAGAATGGAGGAGAAGGGATTGCGGCGTGACCATCCCCCCTGGGGGGTGATTTCTTGCTTTCTGTCTCTCCATCTCTCTCTGTCTGTCTGCGAGCGCACGCACCCTATAGCAAAAACCTCTCCAAAAAAAAGAAAAAAGAAAAGAAAACTCAGACATGTTTTCACGTTACTTCTATGTCCTCTTTTTTTGGTAATCTTAATTGATATTTATGGAAATGTTCCTTTTGCTTATCTTTCAATCTCTTAGATTTACCTGGAGACGTGATGAAATTACATTAAAGGGAAGAGATGTCTGTTTAATATGTCAAAGTGCTTTTCTCATGCTTTGTAAAATAAATCATCCAAATTATATTGTGTCTAGATGTATATATGTGTACACATGTCTATAGGTATATAGACACAATATAAAGTGTAATAGGCTTTTGGTGTTTTGTCGTAATTGTTCAATAAAGTATTAGAAAATGTTTAGTATAATCTGAATAACATTATTACTGGCTACACTTTCACTTATTAAATTGAAATTTGCATTAGTGAGTTGACTTGCAAAAATAGTGTGTATAGATTAGAATAAAGTTGGAAAGACTGGAAGATGAATATATTTTAAAATGTTAGAAGTGTCAGGGTAATACTCTACAAGTTTTGGGACACTAAAGAAAGGGAGCTTTATTTAAAAATTATTTTAAAGTCAAGTGGAATGAAGTGTATGAAATATTGAGTAAAACAAAAGCAAAAATGAACTTCGAAATACAAGTATTTAAAATGATGCGAATCCTATTAAAAGGAAAATATACAAACACATATGGCAATGTGTTGTATGTGAGTGTGATGCATGTGAATTCTGGAAGGATATACATTATCATGCTAAAGGAGTTATCTCTGAATTGAGAAGGAGGATGTTTTATTAATATAAAATGAATATGACAAAAAATGGGTGGATATTTATCTTCCTCAAACATAAAATTTATATTCTTAATTGTAAATCAAATATATACACAGATAGGCACTACACTTTTTAAAAATAATGGCAAATATTGGGACCATCAGGTGGAGTGGTGGATCTGGATTCCTATATGACCGACCAGGGTTCAAGTCCCAGACCTGACAGCCTGAAAATCACGCAGGACATGTGCACATGATGCCCAAAATCCCAGGAGGAGAATGGAAGAGAAAGGTTTGCAGCATGGCCACCCCCCTTATGGGGAGGTGATTTCTCAATTTCCCTCTCACTCTCTCTCTCTCCAGGGAGCATATGTGCCCAATGGCAAAAATCTAATGATAATATTTTATTACCAAACAAGAAAGCAACTTTTGAAGGGTTGCTTCAAAATAAAACTATAGGAAAGCCTGGGTAATTTTAAGCACCTCACAGAAGCTGAGCAGCCACTGAAATCCTACACTTGTGCATTGCAGGGAAGGCTTGAAAAATAAATGAGCTGTCTGTGTTCTTCATTGAGGAGATAAGTACTATCTGATTGATTCCTTTGGATTTAGTTGAGACAGATTTGGCTGTCCTTTGAAGATTTAACGTAAGAGATAAGCTCCAGACGGACTGTATTTGTATTTTTTAAAAACAGTTCTTGTTCTGAGCGTGAACTTCTTAAAAAGTGCCAGATGCTTAAATACAACATTTTTCTGCCATATACCAGCAAGAATATAACTACTGTGTTTGTATCAACCCTTAGACCTACTTCTGGATACCACTTGTGTTTAAGCAAGCTTTGTTCTTAGGAATTACAAGGTTTAGGGTGAAGAGTTTCTGGAGTCGGTGAACAGGTAATTCAAAAGTATGATATGAACTGACCCCATGGCCTGGTAG